TGATGTAATTGGGAGGAATGGTGCCCTGTCACTGGTGTCATTGGGCCCCATTGTTGGTGTCATTGGGAGGAACTGTGCCCCGTTGTTGGTGTCATTGGAAGTAACTGTGCCTCATCATTGGTGTCATTGGGAGGAATTGTGCCCCATCATTGGTGTCATTGGGGGGAATTGTGCCCCATCATTGGTGTCATTGGGGGGAATTGTGCCCCATTATTGGTGTCATTGGGAGGAATTGTGCCCCATCATTGGTAGGAATTGTGCCCCATCATTAGTGTCATTGGGCCCCATTGTTGGTGTCATTGGAAGGAACTGTGCCCCATCGTTTGTGTCACTGGCAGGAACTGTTCCCCCGTTGCTGGTATCATCAGGTCACAGTTTGGAGACCACTGCTCTAGTGGATTAAGGTAATGATGTCATCAAGACCCATCCAGTGTCCATAGCCTTGCATTGCATGGGATGATGCCAAGAGGCAGTTCACTGTTGGTGCGTCTGCAGATGGATCAGGTAGGTAAAAGTGCTGTTACTCTCCCCTTCGGCTAAATGAGCACTTACCCCTTGCAGTTCAGGTGCAGCCCTACTGCAAGGGAGAATTTTCAGATTTCCCAGAGTTCATTATTGAGCCCTGATTCACGTTGTCATACCTCATGTGATTCAGACAGGAATCAAACCTCATTCCTGTACGAATCCCATGCGATTCTGTGTGGTGCTGTTTGACCCCATTCATTTTGAACTGCTGGAATTGCACCACAGTCTCATGAAAAAGGTGCGGGCAGGTTTTTTTTTTGTTCCCCCTGGAACCTGATTGCATGGGTGTTCATCCCTATCTAAACCGGTTAAGGCAAACACACTGCGTTTTGCAACATGCTTTTTGGGTGTTATTAACTTTGAATTGGCACCCGCAAAAAATGGCATGAACACAGTGCGATTGCAGGGCGGTGCAGGAAACACACAGGGATCGCTGCAATTCCCACACCATATCAATGTTTTTTTTGTGTCCTATTTTCCCTTTCCTTGCCTGTAAAGGACAAGACTTTATTTCCCCGTGGAGATGGTCATCAAGACAAATAAGCGGGGTGAATCATCTCGGTGGGCACACAGACTGCATTAAAACCTGCCAGGGGTTCTAACTCTTCCACGCTCTATCCAAAACTGAGAATAGATCCCCAAACCTTGGAGGCTTCCACTGCTGGTCTGTCATTCTGGAAATGCTGTTTGTCCTGCTATCCTTTTGCTTCAACACGTATGCAGATACTGTGAGAACGGCTGCCTTTTCTGTGACTTTCTCTTGAACTGAACCAAAACAAGGATTTCTTAAATCCTTTGAGTAGAAAATTAATGGCATAGTCACAAATATTTTCCAGCACATTATTAAATGACTGTAACCAAATTCATGTCATGTTCTTGGCATTTGTTAGGAAACAAAATGCATGCTGAATGGATTAATTGATTTCCTCTCACAAACTGCGCCAAAATGTATTTTGATTTTAAAGCGGAACTAAAGCTCCATTTTAAAGTGGTATTAAACCCAAAATATTTCTTATATTGCAGCTTACCGATTCTTAGATGTGATGACTGCATTCGTTTTCTTTTTGAGACATTCTTTCTTGATCCTGCCAGTAAGTCTGTTGTTTTTCAAAAGAATAAGCTCTCTTGCAGATGTAGCAGTTAGAGGGATGAGGCAAACCATTTACTGGGGTGCTTACAATGATCATCTTTCATTTAATTTTTTTTCTGTTCCTTTATCCCGAAAGGAACAAAACTGTTGCTGTAACTTCAGCTTGTTAGTGTATTTAAATCTACTAGTACATCTAACACCCCGCCCCCCTGACTGACAATACTGCTGTCTAAAGGTGCCCCCTGTGCTCCTTCATCCATAATGTAGCCACTCTAAGGGCCCTTTCACACTGATGAGCTTTTGATGCGTTTCTGTTGGCTGACAGTGTAAGGTGCATTTTGAAAAACTGAATCAAAGATGCAACATGCGGGATGCAGGACTTTTCAAAGCACAGCGCACACATGGAGTGTGAACTCTAGGGCCAGCTTCATACCTATGCATGTTGAAATTTGCTGTGGCAAAAAAAAGTCCCTAACCATTTTCCAAAAACGCAGCGGCTGAAAACACATAGATGTTAACTTGTCCCATAGGAAACCATGTCAAATGGGAATATTATTATATTATTGTTTTACAGGATTTCTATAGCGCCAACAGTTTGCTCGGCGATTTACAATATAACAGGAGACAATACAGCAACAATACAGTTCAATACAAGAGGAATTTGGAGGGCCTGATCCTTGGAGCTTACAATCCAGGAGAGAGGGGCTAGTGGTACAAAAGGTAGTAACTGTGGGGGATGGACTGGTAGGAAGAGTAGAAGATTCCATTATTAGCTGAAGGCAGGATAGGCTTCCCTGAAGAGAGAGGTTTTCAGAGATCGCCTAAAAGTGAGCAGAGTAGGCGATAGTCTGATAAATGGGGGTAGAGAGTTCCAGTGGAAGGGGGAAGCTCTGGAAGAGTCCTGGAGACGAGCATTGGAGGAGGAGACAAGGGAGCTAGAGAGCAGGAGGTCTTGCGAGGAGCGGAGATTATGGTTTGGGTGATATTTAGAGACAAGATCATTGATGTAATTTGGAGCAGAGTTATGTAGTGAGTTTCTGCAAAATACAAAAAAGCACTAAACAACGCAGTGTTGTGAAGCAAGTCTTACATAGGTTTTCATGTGCTGTTGTCACCCTTGAAAAGTGCGGCAAAAGTGCACCAGTGTAAAAGGGGCCCAATACAGAACGTGTATTACTGACTAGATCACCAAGTGAAAACAAAGGGAAGAGGCCTAAAAAAGAAAACAAATGCAGCCACCAGGTCTAATAACTGGTAAGATGCAATATATTACATTTTTGGTTTTGGATTTAATACCGCTTTAAAAACTGTGAGCAGGCAGCTCTTTATTGCAGAAGAGACATTCTCGTTCACACCATACATGCAGAAAAACTGATGGAAGAAAAGCACAGGTCTCGTTTGCAGAGATGCGTTTCCACTTTTTTCCAGTTTTTATGAGCCTGTCAGTGAGTTTTAGATGCATTGCAGATTCCTGCGCAGAATAAATCCGCACGTGAAACTAGTGTTGTGGTGTGAACAGGGCACATAGCGAACAAATGTTTTCTTAGTGCCCTGGCAGAACGTGTGCAGAAAAACTCAGGTCTCATCGTATTGGTGTGAACGAGGCCTCAGGCTAGGTTCACACCTATGCAGGTTGAAGTTGATGCAGTGTTCTGGTGTAATTTGCGTGTGTTTTTGATGCATTTTTAATGTATGTTTGAGGCGTTTTGCGTTTTTGGGATGTGTTGCTGAGGTGGTGTCATGCAGGAAACACACCAAACATGAATGTGCGTGCATTTTTGATGCATTTGTATTGAGGTCTATGGAACCAAAACTGCAGTCTGCTGCAGGCAAAAAAGTCCCTGACCCGCTCTAAAAAAACACACCAGTTGCAAATGCACAGATGTGAATGTGACCCATAGGAAATCATGTTAAATGGACTGTAGTGCGTTTCTGCAAATCTGAAAACACACTGCAAAAACGCATAGATGTGAACCTAGCCTCAATGTCTCTAAAGAAACCTATCTTCCTACCTGACATAACAGCTACATGTTTGGGAACCACTCTGATTGGATCCTGATCGTTAGTAAGGACCAAGTTGTTGTATTGTTTACTTTAAGGTGTTACTAAACCCAGGACCCTGCATTCACTATATCTGGTCTCCCACAGTACACAGAACATGGAAGTGCAATTATATTAGTAAATATAAACTGCTAAATACCTTTTCTCATTAGCAGTATATAGCAGTCTTGTGACTTCTATCAGTGTCCAGCTGAGCAATGGGTAATGCATGTAGGAGGAGTTTTCATCCTGTCCTATGAGGCTGCATGACCCCTGACCCTCTGTCTGGACAGTGCTGGTTGGCCCTGTGCAGATCACTTGCACCCTCCCAAAGAAAAAAAAAAAAAACTCTAGCCATATACACTAAACTGAGCATGTGCAGAGTGACTCCTAAAGCTCTGTACTATCAGCAGATGGATTGGGAACAGTATAAGGGGAGTATCAGGGAAGACAGGATCAAACGCAGTTTTTACACAATGCAGAGGATTAACCCCTTAGGTTCCACAGTGAGTATAACAAGCATGCTTTACTGCATATACAGACTGATTTTACTGTTGTGGGTTTAGTAACTCCTGTTGCTGTCACTTCTTCTGGACAGCTTGGCCTGCCTGCTAGGCTCCATGTACACTGCAGCTGATAAACTCACGTTTAGGAGCTTTTCTGCGTTTTTTTTTCAGCAGCCCCTGAACTCTCCCTAATGTTTTCCTATGTCTCCATGTACACATCGTCATTTACAGGCAGTTGAGTTTACAATCATTTTTTTGAACGCACCAAACTTGCATTCAGGAGTAGATTTTATCAGCGTTTCAAACGCCAAACCCTTGTAAACGCGGCTAACTGCGTTTAGAAAATATTTTTAACTCTTCCATTTCCAGATGCTGTCCAGAGCCTTTCTTCATCATGAAAATGCATGCAAAGTGTTTTCCCGGTACTCAAATGGACCTGGTACACCATACGTTGAGGTTTCGCATGAAAGAAAATATGTTAGACACTGCTGCAATAATTTCTTCACAGAAATGAGCTGGAACACATCCAAACACCACAAAAAAAGACAGCTAATCTCAACACATACTGCTCTCTCTGCTTCTGCTCTCTTTCTCTCAAAATGTCTGAAATAGTTAATTTTTTTACAGTTTTTCAGTGCATTCTGGGCATTTTGGAGGGTCTCCTGAGGTTATCTTTAATCACAAGCCTACAGGGCACTTCTACCCCCCCTTCCTGCCCAGGCCAATTTCCAGCTTTCAGTGCTGTCGCACTTTGAGTGACAATTGTGCGGTCAAACAACACTGTACACATATGAAATATTTATCATTTTTTGTGTGACAGAGTTTTATTTTGGTGGTATTTAATCACCTCTGGGATTTAAATTTTTTCTTAAACCAAAAACCACAGAATGTTTTTTTTTTAAAAAATGTTTTTTCTTAGTTTTTGTTATAAAATTTTGTAAATAAGTGATTTTTCGCCTTCACTGATGTGCGCTAATGAGGCTGCAGTGATAGGCACTGATAGGCCCCTGCACTGATGGACACTGATACGTGGCACTGACTGGCACTGTTAGGCTGCACTGACTGGCACTGATAGGTGGCACTGATAGGTGGCACTGATGGGTGACACTGAAAGGCAGCTCAGATGGGCACTGATATGTGGTTTTGATGTGCATTGGTAGGCACTGATATGTGGCATTGATGTGGCACTGATGAGCACTGACACGAGGCACTGCTGGGGCTACACTGATAGGTGGCACTGCTGGGGCTACACTGATCATCAGTGCCCTGATGATCAGTGTACATATCCCCTCCGCGGAAAGCCGATTACTGGCTCTCCTCTCCTCTCGAGCTGTCAGCGTGACAGCTCGAGAGGAGAGAAATGCCGATAACTGGCATTTCCCTGTTTACATGTGATCAGCTGTGATTGGACACAGCTGATCACTTGACCAAGCCAACATCTTCGGCTCTTTCTGTGATCAGTGATCCTCTGCGTCCGAGGGACACAGTGCACTGCCTATCGCCGCGCTGCGCACTCCCTGAGCCACACATGCGCGTTGAGAATGGGAGGATCTCATATGACGTCCTCCCAGAACGAGAGAACCACCTTGGGTCCGTCATATTACTATATGGCGGGGGGGAGGTGGTTAAACGCTTCTAAACGCAAACGCGGCTAAACAGACTTTTTTTTTAACCTACGTTTTCCAGCAGTCGGTTTTCATCATTCAGAAGTGTCCCGTGTGCAGGGGCGGACTGACAATTTGGAAACTCGGGCACTGCCCGAGGGCCTGGGGTCAGTAGGGGGCCCCATGACATGCCGCTGGTACCTTTTTCATAGACTTTTTTGAATTTGGGAAAGGACACAGGGGCCCCATGATCCCCTATTGCCCGGGGGCCCCATGAGTTGTCAGTCCGCCCCTGCCCGTGTACATGGAGCCTTAAATGAAATAAAAATACAAATAAAGTCACATGAAATAAACCAAATAAGGACATTACATACTAAATACGGACAATAACTACATATAGTCGTCAGTGTAGAATACTTTTCACAGAAGTGATCCTAAGGGAATTCTACGGAGACCTGATCTAACTGACATTTATTGGATGACAAGCAGTGGTCGGCAGTTCATACAGTTCAGTGTTATTATACAGAGTTATAGTGGAAGGATGTGTCACAGATTAACTGGCACAGGGCTCCATCAGTGCAGTATAAATGGCTTTGGTGGTACATGATACGGCGCCGGGCCAGTATTATATCTGCGTCTTCTCTCTGCTGATCTTGATGCCAGCTATTTTCCTGTCTTCCTGTCAGGAGAGCCCATAGAGATCTGTCATCATGTTTCCTGCTGTTTTATTATATTGCTCCAAGACCATCGCACAGAAAAGACTCTTTTACAGGCCACTTACATTGTCATCAGCGGCAGTTAGCCTCTCAAATGTAATCTTCATCTCTACAACCATTTAAGTTTACTGAGTAACTGCTGAAATAGAAGTCACAACAATGTAGGAGAACTCTTTGTCATACTTTGAAAAGACCGCACGTTCCCTCAGTTTTTTTTTTAGATACAAATATTTGCTCATCACATACGCTGGCTGTGTTTTCCGCTTTGCAGCGCTAAACAACGGTTAGGTTTTTAAAGGCTAATGTCTTTATTATTTTGCATAAATTTAACAGACAGAGCATGAGAAGTATAAAGAACATGTACAAGTAAGTAAACAGAAAAACATCACAGGTGCGGCTATGATCCATGTGGATGGATGAAAATGATGCAGTACAACAGTAAGAGGGAAGGATCAATAACCCATATTACGGGGGTATAACATAACATCGTGTCGGGGGGGGTATCCCTCGGCAAAGTGTATAGAACAATATGAGAGAACACCATACAACACCGTACAATCAAGAGTGTAAATCTAAACTGAGAAAGAGAAGGGAGAGGAAAGAGAGAAAAGGAAAAAAGCCAGTGGAAAGGATATCGAAGGAGGAGAAGAGAGGGGATTGGGAGACGGGGACGGCAGAAAGCAGCATTATTTATTTATTTCAGGTACTTATAGAGCGCCGTCAATTTACGCAGCGCTTTACATATATATTGTACATTCACATCAGTCCCTAACCCTCAAGGACGTACAATCTAAAGTCCCTAACTCACATTCATACATACACATACTAGGGACAATTTATACAGGATCCAATTAACCTACCAGCATGTCTTTGGAGTGTGGAAGGAAACTGGAGTACCTGGAGGAAACCCACACAGTCACAGGGAGAACATGCAAACTCCAGGCAGGTGGTGCCGTGGCTGGGATTCAAACCAGCGACACTAGTACTGCCAGGCGGAAATGCTAACCATTTAGCCACTGTGCTGCCCAGCATTAGGGTGGCTCCCCATCTGCATCTCACCTGAGCGACCCTGCCACCCGCATTTCGGCACGGACTGCAGGATCCAATCGGTGGATAAGCCAAAATGAAAACGGTTATGTTTTTATTGCTCGTGTAATACTTACTCCTGGTGGGGCCGTTGGAAAGGGACTGGTTCTCCCAAAGTAGTGCAGAGGCCGCCGGTCACACAAGCACAGTCCCACACACACTGACAATTCAGGATCACTATAGGGGTGTCTTTTTAGTATTGCTGAAGAACCTAAACAGGAGAGGGGTTTAGGGTCTCAGGATACTCCAGAGCGATCAGTAGCAACAATAGGAGGACAAACGTCTCTCTAATCATTCAATAGAAGATTTTCTCGAGGTAGTAGGGAATGGCCAGAATATCAAGGACCCTACAACAGCAGTCAATATAGCAACCTCTGGAACCTGCACAACTAATGGTCCCCAGGAAGGTCTTTCCTTTACATTGTCCCAGGAGCTGTCTGCCACCCAGCATCCACAGGTACATCCTCAGTGAGGGGACAAGATCCTTCTCCAGACCTGGACTTCAGGATAGTGCCAAAAGTACTAACTCTCCAGCGCCTCAAAGGGCTCATGTACACAAGATGTTTGGAAAACTCTTCTGAACAATGGAAACTGACAGCTGGAAAACATAGGTTAAAAAAGTTTGTTTATCCACGCTTGCATACTTCGTTTATGCGTGTTTGTGTTTAGAAGCTTTTTTTAAGATAACTTCAGGAAACCTTCCAAAATGTCCAGAATGCACTGAAAAATAGTATGAAATTAACTATTTCAGACATTTTGTGAGCAATAGAGAGAGCAGAAGCAGAGAGAGCAGTATGTGTTGAGATGACCTGTCTTTTCTGGTTATATTCACCATGGATCCCATCATGATCATAATGCAGCACGTTCTACCATTTGTTTCCTTCACACAAAACTTGGAACTGACTGCGCTGGTGTACCGGGTCCATTTGAATACATGGAAACCGCTTTGCATGCATTTCTGATGATGCGAAATGCATCAGCAGGCCGACCGCACAACCAGTTGGACACTCTGCCATCATTTTGGCCATCTCTTTGGCCTTACAGGCTTTTTATGCACTAATTTTGTATGTTTTTTGTCTTTTTAAACAACGGATAGTGCGCTAGGTATTTGTGCCACCTGTGTGCTTTTTTTCAGGATAGTGCCCCCCAACAAATAATCCTCTAGCATTCTTCCCTAGGTCCTTGGCCCAGTAGCTGCTGAGGCCCAGACTGCAGCTTCTTGTTTTTGCTGAGCTGCCTCCCAGGGGCAGGCGCCCCAGGAGAAAAGGAACCCTCCCCTGAGGGAAAGAAAACTCTGTTCAGGCCTTTTGCACATTTATCACCTCCTCAGCCACCTTCTAGCCTCCTCCTTTCAGGGACTGGCCGGGGCATGATACATTTTTCAAATTCTGTAGTGCTGATATACACTGCTTATGAAAAATTCAATCAAAATATAACAAATATATAAACACATACAGTGAGAATAGAAAAGAATCACCCCCCCCCCCCCCTTTAAAATAGTCACATTTTGTTGCTTTGCAGCCTGAAATGAAGATACAGTTTGTTTGTGTTCATGGAGGAATGCCTTCCGTGGAGCTTTTGTATTTTGACAGCAGCTATAGCCGCCTGCAGTGATTGAATGAAAAAAAAAAACCCAACAGGCTGGTTGTAATGAAGTCGATAGATAGTTCGACTTCAGTACAACCAGCCTGTCCATAGATGGATTAAAGTTTGGCTGGTCCCTGCTGAACCAGCTGAATTTCGCTCCATCTATGGTGGGCTTAATTCAAAGGAGACTCTTCTAGGAGTGCGCAGTAAGGAACATAAATGCTAATACAAAGGTATTTATTACATTTTTAAGTATTTAACCTCTTCCCTACCGCGCTATAGCAGAAACGTCCATGGACGTCCTCCAAGAACACACCCCCAACGGCGTGCACCCGGCGTTGCCGGTGATTGCTGTGTCCTACAGACACAGCTGATCACTTGATACAGTAAATGGCCAATCACAGCAGCCTTTTACCACATGATGAGCTGTGTCCAATGACACAACAGATCACCAAGTAAATACAGTTGCCGGTTATCGGCTCCACTTTCCTCACACTGTCACAACGTGAGGAAAGTACTGCCGATAACCGGCAATTGTCAGAGAAGTGATCGGCACTGATGATCAGTACCCATCAGGGCCACCCACCTGTGCCCTGCAGTGCCACCCATCTGTGTTCAGCAGTGCCGCCCGTCAGTGTCACCCATCAGTGCCCATCAGTGCAGCGCAGGGGCGGACTGACGATTTGGAAACTCGGGCACTGCCCGAGGGCCCGGGGTCAGTAGGGGGCCCAATGAGATGCTCCTGGTACCTTTTTCATAGGCTTTTTTGAGCTTGGGCAAGGACACAGGGGCCACATGATCCCCTATTGCCTGGGGGCCCCATGAGTTGTCAGTCCGCCCCTGGTGCAGCGTCATCCATGCTAGCTCATCAGTGCCACCTATCAATTCCGACTATCAGTGCCTCTTATAAGTGCCCAGTAGTGCCACCTATCCGTGCCACCTCATCAGTGCCCATCAGTGCTGCCTCATCAACGCACATCAGTGAAGGAGAAAAATTACCTGTTTGCAAAATTTTATAATAGAAACAAAGAAAAACTTTTTTTTTTTTCAAATTTTTTGCTTTTTTTTTTTTTGTTTATAGTACAAAAAATAAAATACCCAGATGTGATTAAATTTCACCAAAAGAAAGCTCTATTTGTGTGGTAAAAATTATAAAAATGTCATATGGGTACAGTGTTGCATGACCGGACAATTGTCATTCAAAGTGCGACTGCACTGAAAGCTGAAAATTGGCCCTGTGCAGGAAGGGGGTATAAGTGC